ACAATTGTCCTATTCAGATCAGTAAGCACCTATAGCGGGCCATGACGTCGCATGTGATACCATACTCGACGCACTTCGTCGCCCTTGCCGTCAATAGGACTCCATCCCTTGCTCCGATATCCCGAACGCTCAAGCTCGTCCGAACTCTACTAGCCCAGCAAGGCAATATCTTACAGCGGACAACAGTCCCTGTTTGCGATAACGTTTTCTATCAGATTGCTGAAAACAATCACGAAAAACTGCAGGAAGAAGCTACAAAACTCTCCCTGGCAGTTTTTCGTATAATCTGGCTCATGGATACAAGATAGCAATATCGTCGCATGGTGTCGTGAATGTGGATTTGAGGGCACCACCGGGCTGTTATTTTCCATTATTAGGGGGGAGTGGGAGTGTGCGACTTACGAAAGAAAACCAGTGAATGCAAATGCCGCGAGTGGGCTTATCCCGTGCGTTCTGACACCACCCGATTGATTGAGACGATATCATTTGTAGATGATGTGAATGCAGGGTCATACTGACAAGCCGGTCTTCGAATGAGAATTTTTCTTATCACAGGCAGTGGCTACCGCTTGGAGAGCCCCCCAGAGTAACGGTTTGTGGGCAAGATGGGACGAGGAAGAAGAAAAGAGCATCCCAACCTCAGTCGCTTAGAGTTACAATTTTACGCCACCCGCAACAATCAATAACGTGAAAGGATATAGGAAAAGTCTTCGCCCTCTTACCAGTCTTCTGTGTGATGCGGCACGCACTCTATTTTCCGTTCTAGAATCGGAAAAAAAAATAAAAGTGGCTTATTAAATGCGATGTGGCCTATACAATGACTTGCCGTGGCCAGCCGATGTACAAGCAGGGCACGCCATCGCGTTGTGATCATTTCCTGAAAAATACGCGCTCACCCGCCTAAATCGATCCTCAGTACTACCCCCACCGCCATGCTTCCTACCCTTTCTAGATTCCCAAACTTCTTCGCAGCTTTTTCCATTTTTCCACGAAACAGTGCCAACTTTTTTTGGCTAAGAATTTCCATCGACGAGGGGGGGGGAGTCGAAAAGTATATACCTCATTTGCGAAACTAGGAATTTTCACATTTGATTCTTCCTAAACTCCTACCATCCTCCGAAATTTCCCGTTTCTGGTTTTTCCCAAAATTTGGCTGTCGAGCGGAAGGTCGTCAGAATTTGACTGTATTTTCAACTACGAACTAGTAGTTTATGATCCTCTGCCATCCCTCTCCAACCACGACCAAGACTGACCGCCTCCCTTTCATGGCGCCGTAACCTTGGCCTAGCGTGGTCGACCCTAGGGATTCAACCAGTACCTCCAGCGCGAGTGTGACTTGCCACTTGTTCTACACACCCGTCCGCCCCTGATGTAATTTAGGCGAATACTACTATTCGACCGAGAATCCACCAGTAGTTTTCTCGGATTGAACCTGCAACATATAACCTCCATCTCCCTGAGCCAGAGGACAGCCTAAATTCTTCCCAGGGAACATCCACTATGGGGAAATTCGTTTGTGGGGATGCGGATCGGGATATATCTAAGTTCGGCGTGAGAGGCAACGCTGTAGATTGTGTAGTGTACGCGGCATCCGCAGTGGGGCCTAACTGATCTGACATGCTACAGTAAACTAGGTCAACTGACTGAAAAAATACCGCATGTGACGAGCTACCATGCCTGCTTACCATTGCACAGAACTCCTGACCCAGTCCCATTCCATATAAGCTTCGAGCTTTTTATCAAGGTTTCTTATGTCACACAGTTTAAAGTTGTGAATTATTTCGTATCACCTGTATCACCTGTGCTCCCGTTGATCATCGAGTTCCTCGAGCGGGCGCCAGTAACGTCTCCATTCGTCCAACGTGCAAGAGTTGCCCAATGAACTCTCTCAGCTCGAGGGACACGATGAACTTCATACCGTTCGTTCAGAGCTTTCACGAAGAAGTCTGACCATCGCATAGGCGGTCGTCCAGGCGTTCGCTTGACATCCCGTGGAATCCAGTCGGTGACTGCTCTGGTCCAGCGGTCGTCCTCGAAACGCATAACGTGTCCGGCCCACCTGATCTTCGAAACCTTGGCAAATGCGGCGGCGTCTCTGATCTTCGATCGTTGGCGGAGTGCGGAGCTCCGGATTCCCTCTCTCACTTGCGTGTAGCGGGAAACTCCGAGCATCGCCCTTTCGATGGCGCGTTGAATAACACCGACCGCATGCTCATCCTGCTTTCGTAGAGTCCAAGTCTCTGAGGCGTACGTCAAGGCAGGAAGGACCGCGGAATCGAAGAGGTGGGCACGGAGCTTGGTGTTCTTCGTCTTCGCTACTCCCTCGATGTTCTTGAAGGCTCCCCAAGCCGCTCGCTTCCTCCTGCTCAGCTCTGACATAGTCATTCATCATATGATTCGACGACTTAGGTAACAAGCTAACCATTCAGAGTTCGTCGTTGAGCGTGAATGGCATCAGACACCAATCCGTTTCTCATGAACATCGTCTTCGTTAGATTCAGCCGTAGACCGATTGTTCCACACGCGCAGTCGAATTCAGCCAGCATTCGTTCCGCTTGCTCGATGTTTGGTGTTATCAAAACGATGTCGTCAGCAAAGCGGAGATGGTGTAGTTCGACCCGTCGATCTTTCAACTCCCATGTCTTCCCATCTCAGTTGAACGCATGACTTCTTCCGACGAGAGGCCTGAAATCTTGGTACCGAGATGGTGTCGCCCTGTCGGACCCCTCTCTTCACATCAATGATGATCTCCTTGTAGAATGGTGAGATCTTGGTCGTGAAGTTGCTGTAGAGCTCACGAAGAATCCTGATGTACTGAGTAGGAATACCCTGGTTGCCCAGGGCTTCGATAACCGCTTCTGTCTCAACGGAGTCGAAGGCTTTCTTCAAGTCGATGAACGTGAGACATAGCGGCATCTTGTACTCTCGCGATACTTCGATGAGCTTCGTTACCGTGTGGATGTGATCGATCGTGCTGAATCCTCTTCGAAACCCTGCTTGCTCGCATGGCTGTCCTTCGTCTAGTGTTCTTCCATCTGTTAAGGATGATCCGTGTAAGAGTTTGTAGACTACAGACAGCAGGCAGATTGGGCGATAATTGCCAATGTCGTACAGGTCTCCCTTCTTGTACAGCAACACAGTCTTGCTGGTTTTCCACGAGGTGGGTACCTTGCATTCCGACAGGTAGCGCGTGAAAAGTCGAGCCAGAGTTTTGACGAGAACTGGCGAAGATTCTTCAGATGTTCGGGTCTGATCCTGTCGGGACCGGGTGCCGTACGATTCTTCACCGACGAGATGGCGTGTCGGACTTCGGAAGAGACTGCAGGAACGCCACATATCCATCGTGCTCCAAGCGTATGGTTGCAGGTGGACGTGCTGTGAAAGAGATCCGAGTAGAAGTCGTGGATGACCTTCTCCATTGCCCTTCTGGATCGGTGGATTGTTCCTCCAGCCGTCGGAGGCGTCATCTGGTCTTATCAGTTGCGAAGCTCGCGGCGCTGCGGCGTTGCGTTATGCTCTTCCCAGCCTCTGCGGCACCAATACTGCTGCTCTTCTCTCCTTGAGGTCTTCCTTTATCGCTCCTCTGCATAGCTTCGCAAGCTCAGACGTCAGCTGGTAATTGCCTGCGGCTCGTGCGGCTCCACGTTGGCGAATCAGCTCGAGAGTTTCCAGAGATAGACGCTTCTTGGTAATCTTGAACTGACTTCTTGGACGCAGTCCGTAAAAGATTCAACAAACCGTTCGTATTCCTCGTCGATATGTCGATGAAAGAACCTACCCAAGAGCCCACGAGAAATGAAGTGATCCCAGTTGATGGTGGTCTTGGGGCTTCGCTTCTTGAACTTTGCGGCTCTCTCTCCTCGCATTGAAAGCGGAATCTTGCGCGAAGGAGGCGATGGTCAGATCCCGTGTAGAACTTAGGGCAACAGCGACATCGGTCAGGCAAAACCTTCGATTGCAGATGATGTGGGATCTCCGTTATGAATTGTCCACTACCAGGAGACTCCTATGTCCAAGCGTAGAGAGTAGGGCTTCTGGAACTGCGAGTTACCATGGATGGTATGGGTCGACATGATAAACTCAGACAGCCTTTCACCCTGCTCATTCCACTCCGTTCCGTGAGTTCCGATGTGAAGTTCTTCAGCCGTTCTTCTTGGTCCGATCTTAGCGTTGAAATCACCGACGATGACCTTGAAGAAGGTATGATCTTCCTTGTAGAACTTCTCCAATTCCATATAGAACGCTTCGAGCTCATCCTCGTCGTAGCTGATGTTGGCGAAGGCGACGAAGATTGTCAAAGCTGGAGTTGAACCACATCTTCTCAATCGCAAACGTCCGATTCGGGTCGTCAGACTTTCGTACGAATCGATGTTCATGGCCAAGTGCGTGTTGACGAGGACGCCCACACCGCCAACGCCTCTGCTGTCGCATGTTCCCAGGAACAGTTTCTTCCCCAGTCTCAGGTACACGCGCCGTGTAGCGGCGATGCCTCCTCGTCTCGCGTCAGCACGATGACGAGGAGGCAACCGCCCGCTACTCCGCCGTGCCGTCAGTGATGACGTCGTACTTGATCTTCCTGGCTTGCAACATCAGATCTTCGATGTGAGCTTCCGATGCAAGCGTCCGTGCGTTGAAAGTACAGATCGTCATCCTAGTCCTGGGCGACTTAAATCTCCGTTGGCCCTGTGATTCTAGCAGCCTCGTCCGAGGTCCAGCCGACGTCGCCCTGTCGGTGGTTCCCTCAGCTTCAGGGGAATGAGGCCCATAGTTGTTACTGTTTTCGGCGAGAAGAAAATTAACCACGCGTAGCTCGCCAGGCTCTGACGTGGCACCCTCCGCATTGTACGTTTCGAACAGCTCCGAAACGTTCAACGAAACCCCACGCACGATGAGCTGCGATAGGATGTAGGGACTTATTTCGTAAGTATCTGAAAATGCAATGAAAATATTGTTTTTTTATCACGAACAGGAAGTCGTATGTTATCAGATGCGCAGTATTCCAGGTGGTGGTCACCTCTGAAGATCTTTGGATCAAGACATATGGGCAACTCTATAAGAGATTATGTTCATCGGGCGCTAATATTCCTCTAGGAATATTCAGAACGAAGAATATGGACTCTAAGACGGTAATATTCCTTTGATATTTCCCGCTGATCGCTTGCACTCAGTATGTGTGCTCAGGTTTCTCATGAAATGGAGGAAAGGTGTCACTCAGTGGATGCTTCACAGCTCGAAATGGCTGTCGAGCGAAGGAAGGAAATGCTGAATCATATCAGAACGAGAATGAGAAACTTGGGAATAACAGATGATGCAGAGAGTGAGTGTTAAATGAAACTGACACCATAATATGGACTAATTACGCAAAATATAAAAACAAAACGCAACACCTCTCCTCACTATGAAATGGAAAATGCTGGGACTTATGCTTTTAATATTTTTCGCTGAAATCCACTCTAGTATTCTTTCAATTACTTCGAAAACTTTTTAGCTCTCGATAGCAGGGATTTGGTGGAAAACAGCAATAAAATCTCCTTCGTCATAATCAATCCAGCTGCAGACTTGCAACTTGAAGCAGGAGATATTGTGTACGTTGCTTCTTTTCTTTTCCATATCTCAGTGCCAAAGAGGCTCCTTCTTGCGGCTGATCTTTTCGTGAACCGTAAGGCTGCGTTTATACTTTGCGGCAGTGTAGCGTAGCGCTTACAGCGTACGCTAGCAGCAGTGCCGGGGAGGGGATGGATATCGATCTAGCTTTCCAGCGTTTCACCAGCGTTTTGCTGGCGTTTGCAGCGGCAGGGAGTAGAGACTATGTGGCCGTAAGAGACGCGCAATCGATGTGTATTGTAGAGACTATGTGGCCGTGAGAGACGCGCAATCGATGTGTATAGTAGAGACTGAGGGCGAGTGAGAGACGCGCAATCGATGTGTTTTGTACCCTCCAGCTCTCCCATAGTCTCTACTCCCCTGCCGCTGCAAACGCTAGCAAAACGCTGGTGAAACGCTGGTGAAACGCTGGAGAAATCTGGCCGTAAACGCTAGCGACGCTAGCGTTACGCTGGTGACGCTGGGAACGCTAGATCGATATGCATCCTCTCCCCGGCACTGCCGCTGGCGTACGCTGGAAGCGCTACGCTACGCTGCCGCAAAGTATAAACGCAGCCTTAAAAGTCCTGCGGAGGTTCTTTAGACAATCATCTTCTCCTACATTTGTATCAAACAATATTTGATAAGATCTTAAAGCAGGTCCGCGATCAGTATAGAAGTTAAAAATATGGCATCCGTAGTGTGGCCGCGACGAACAACCTTGCATCGGTTTTGCAGCAAAAAATTGTAAGGGAAGGGCGCTATTGTGCAGTATAGGTTCTGGCGCCTCCTTTTTTTCCCGGTGATTCCGCCTACAAGCCCTCCTTCTGCTCCATTCAGTGAAAAACGAGCTTCAGAAGAAGAAAGCATGAAAACGCATCAACTTATAGCTGTCGTAGAGTCTATAGGGAATCAGCTATGGCGGATGAGGCCGTCATGTTGGAGTTACTCAGCAAGTACAAACTAGGATCTAAGTGGGATTCTTGTCCTGGCGGCTGAAAGATAGGATAAGAGGCTACAGAAAGGGAAGTCATTCTATACCCGAGACCGCAGAATCACTGGAATTGATCCACGGTATGGTAGTTGGTATTGACGGGAATATTATTAGTGTAAAAAGAGGTGTTCAGGTGTTGAGTTTTCGGTAGGGCTCTAGCAGGGTAAGGCAACCATCTTCACAGAGCGCGTCACATTACCAGCAAGGCGTTGATTCCAGCAAAAGATATAGAGGTGAGACGGGAACATCGACGATGGGACAAAAAGCGATAACGACTGACAGAGGTTGATAGACGGCGTTACCATCGTTGTCGTCGAGGGTAGTACAGTCCTTACACTGGCAAATCATAAGGACTTAGTCGTAAGGGGCATTGAAGACGGGTGACAGGTAGTTATATCAATTGACAGTAGTAGATGAGAAGCCATACAGGTAGTCCTCACTACATTTCTTACCACTTCTTACTACCTGCTAGCAAGTATTATATGTGTGAACCGTGATTCCTTTATCCATCACGTCAACACCGAAATCAACCGCTATCATTTTTCACATATGCATGTAATTATATCGAGCGGGCAGGTAACGGGGGGGGGACCGGAGAGGTTGTGCGGTCTACAATATAATCGAAAAAACTTTATTTGGGCACAACAAGCCCCCTACTGGGTTTTCCAGTTTTTCCACATTGAGGATTGATCTTTCTATTAGTGTCACTGGCTCGGCTCCTGCTAATCCTTATTCTGCATTATGGACAGGATTGTTATCCGTTCCTTTTTCAGCGACCGACCCCTTGAAGCGCTTCCTTAAACTATTTCTTCTACCACCCAGCATGGCAGCTGTCGACGCCGAAATAATGGAGCTGCACAAGGACAATGTCTACAGTCATCAGACAATCTTCCACGACGCTAGCTCTTCAGAGCGGGAGCCTACGGTTCGAATGACGAAGTGAGGTTCGAGTACCTGTAAACTCAGCTCTAGATAGCGGTGGGTCAGGAAAGACGAAGAAGCTGCCTCCTCGATCAATCCGTGCGCAAGGGCCACGAGATCTGAAGATAATCGTCAAGCAGAGGGCAAAATCCATCGGCACAGTCCGTCTTCAACGTGCTGGTGCAGCACACCCCGTCAAAAAAGTTCGAGCCGTACTTCATGCAATAGAGTCACAGTCTGCGGTCCAGCGTTTCTCTGGAACGGGGCGATTCGGCGAAAAGCTTTCTGAACGTATATCGACGAAGTGGGCGAAGAGTCTGGCGGTTAGGCATCGACGGGCGTTTCGCCAAACCGCGACGTTTTTCGCCTTCGACGAAACGCTAGCTCGATCGCCGTGGCGTTTTTCGCCAGCGAAATCGATACACATCTATTGCTTTTCGCCCAGGCGCCGAACGCGGCAGTTCGGCGAAACTAACCGTTGGCGATTTTTTGCTTTTCTCCCGACCGCCGTTTCATCAGGGTCGCAGACTATGAACAATGCCTTGGGCCGCGTTCATAACTTGCGACCGTGAAGAAATGCAGAAATGCGGAAACTGCAGAAGTGCGGAAAGTGCGGAATCTGCAGAAATGACGAAAAGCAACAGGTACGTATCGGTCTGAAAAAATACAGGAATGCCGAAAATGAAGAAGTGCGGAAAATCGATACGTATCGGTTGCTCATCGTTATTTCTGCAGATTCCGCACTTCTGCACTTTCCGCATTTCTTCATTTCTGCATTTCTGCATTCTTCATGGTCGCAAGCTATGAACGCGGCCTTATGCGGAGTAGTCCCTTTACACCTGTCTGCAGATGTTCCAGTGGCAGCATCGATCAAAAAATTATCGATACAACGCTCGCCACCACCACCATCCCACGCAAATGGGATCGTCATATTGTGGAGGTCAGGGGATCGCAGGCCGAGGCCTTGCGATCCCGGGATGACCACCTCGGCGGTGGTCAAAAGGGTCAGAAGGACCCTATAAAAGGGGGCCGCTCTCCAGATGTACAGTTCTACTCAGCTCTACCATCGTCGCCAGGACCCTCCCGCTGAAGTTGGCCGCTCAACGCCGGACGCCACGGATTTCGCCTGATCGACTCCACAATCGCATCCACTTCTATTCTTCTAATAATCAATCATCGTTCCTAGTTCTATTTGTTTCTAATAAATTATTTTGTTACGGGGTTTTGCCGCAGAAGTATCTGTGATAGTTTATCGGCTCCACTACACATATATGTAGCTGACTGTGCAAGTATTATGTACTTTCGGGATAATTAACGTCTGTCGCGATGCAAGTAGTGTTTTACAGTATCTCTCCCAATTGCACTCCTTCCCATTTGTCACGGATCCTAATTTGTTATTATTTGTTCTCTTTTATAATTCATTGCCTATTTGTACAGTTCTACTCATATATGCTAACTTGAACGCTTTATTCTCTCCTTCCCTTACTGATGAGGCATAAAGGGTTATACTGCGTCTGTTGCTTTCGGTCTAAGGGCAGAGCGAAAGGAGAGTCAACTACACTTTGACAATTCCCCACCCCCCCCCCTTCAAAGTGTGTTTTGCTTCACTTGAATGTTTATAACTCTTTATTATTTCTTCTTTCGTGTCTGTTGTCTAGTTCGTTCGCGTGCTCTCTCGCTGCTCTTGTCTGGTCCACATTGTTTGCCTCGCACTAGAAAATAGGAGGACTTTGGGGAAGGTTGGGCTATTTTCGGTGATCTCCACAGCCTTTTTCTCTTCACGAGTAAGTGAAGTAGCATACCGCTTACACGTTTCCACCCCAATGAACCTTTGATCTACTCGCGAAGCGTATTTCAGAGTATTCCTGCCTCCACACGAGCCACTGCATGAATTCACCCCGTTGAGAATGGTATTGACAAAGCAATCGTGATTCACCACGCCGTGCGATGGTTCCAGGTAGTAGATGGCGACAACAGGCAATTCAGAAGCGAAAATAGTCATGAATGTTCTACGATGACGAGGTCTACATGAAGTCCGGTGCTCCAATCGATAGATCAACACGAGTTAAGCGAACGCCGCACCCATCGCCGCGTGCGGCCGAGCGACAAATTACGACATTCTTCTTGCCCGTGCTCCCTAAAGGCTGTTCATAATGTACTGGAGAAAAAGACGCAGCTTTAGTTGTTTCCATTGCAGGTACGTATTATGTAGCCCAGTGAAAGAAGATGCAAGCAGTCACCAGACGAATCCTAGAAAAGGGCTCAGACGAGCTCATCACATCGAGGAAATGACTTTCGATAACACAGACAAAAGTGCTGAACAAGTATCATTTGATGTTCTGTCGTTGCCGTAGAAATGGAACCAATATGTTGAGAAGCTCATTGATACAGTTGCTACGCTGCAATTTGTTGCAAATAGCATAATTCCAGCGTAATATCTCTCTCGGTGCTAATAGTACAAGTGTGCTGAACATGTGATGAATCTTACCAAATTCCGATGTGCTTCACCCAAGAGGTGCTTTCTATAGGACCTTGACTTTGTCCACCGTTTTTTGCCTTTGAGATTCGATTTTGTTGCTGTTTTGCTGTACATAAAGAATTATTTGGAATGATGACAGCCTATCGTAATATAGAGCATTAAATTCTAGGGAAAAGGTTGCTCCAGGTTTCTTGTGTAAAATGGTGATCATCGCATTTTGTCAACAACAAATCAAGGGAGACTCATCCCTTAGCTCTCAGCGATCTACACATAATATATCGGTTAGAAGAAGTCCTGAACACTTCGATCTAAATTTTTCTAACAAAAACGTAAAAAAACAGGAATGTTTTCACCCCTAATTGGTGTGGAGTGTTCTATGAGATTTTCGCAGAGGGCCAATTATGACTTTGTGGAAGCTTCCAAAGCTAAAAGCCCCTCAAAGGTCAAGGTTCTTTTTGACCTGTCCCATATTATGAGTACCTGCAGGGTCACTCCGCCCTTGGCCAAGGTGGCTTATACCTGCGTAGGCTCCAGGAAGGACGTCATCAGCCATGGCGGAGCGTGCCGTTTGTATCAGCGCTTGCGAACTAGAGTTATTTTATTCGAAGGTAGACAACGTATAGGTCGACCACCAGCACAGAATGGCGGCCGTTTACTCAACCCCATGGAGGCGCACCCGAACGTAACCACCGGCACTTTAGCAAACTTTCTGGGCTGCACCTAAGTTGAAACAATCCGGCCACCCGCAATAACGGTTATGGAACGTTCTCTGAAAACTCCATGGGTTGACCAGTTTGACAAAGCGCATCAATGGTGGTGAACGAGTTTTTCTCTTGTACACACTGGACGAACTTTTGTGAAACATTGGGGTTTGTGGCGAGAGTAGGGGTATTTGCATAAATGCACATATTCTTCACGGGATCTTTCAAGAAAAAGAGTCGTCTGCTTAGCCACTAGTAGATGTGTATAAAAAAAGTTTCACTGCGTCATTGGTGGGAGTCCAAAGCGATGTTAGTGGATATTGGCACACTAGTAGGTGCCACCTTACACTAAACAACTTCGATACATGGATGACCTTAAGCTTTATTTTATTCACAATTAACCGACTTTGCTTCACTGCTCGGCAGTGCGAGGGCCATGTGTAGCGGAGGCTACTTCAAAAGATTATGGATTCTCGATCAGGAAATACGAC